TAAGAACGGGGGAAGTACTGCCGCCTACAGGTCTGGCATGTCCTTAACAACGTATTTATCCGGGTACGTGTGGACAGAGTTTTCTTTTAAAACGCGGTGGTGTGGATGCAAGTTTTTGGAGGGGCGGATATTCGTTTTTAAAAACCCCGGCTACGTGTGGACTAGGCCTTAGTGTGTCCTGCTGGAAAAAGACGTCGTGCAGCCTGGCTCAGAGAAATCTTGCGCCGTAGTGTGCCACCTTTCTGGAGTCCTCACAGTTTGACATGAACAATCCTGTGTGTGATCTGGGCTTAAGAAAGAGTGGCCAAATGCTGCTCAGGCTAGATGTGCAAGTTGATAGAATGAATAAATACTGATGTGGGGTGGGTGTGTTATTATTGTCAGTGTTTCACATTTTTTGTTTATGAACAACATTGAAAACACAATTCTAAATTAATCAGAATTCTTGTCAGTGTTTTAGTGGCTGGGTTGTGTGCAAAAAAGGAACAACAGGTGGAATTTACTAAGAAAAACCCCATAAAATAAGGATTTTTTCTCAGAAAAAGAAAACAGTTTTCCTTCATGCTGATGGGGTTGTTGGGAACAGCCCCATCCTCCTGGCTGGATCACCTATTGTTGCAGAGCTTTGTAACCTTAAGACTAAACAAGGATCTAAAACATTTTATCAGAAAGATTTCAGTAGAACAATCATGATTTTACTCTGACCGGTCTGGTTTTCTCTCTGCGGGTGAGAAGCACCGATCAGCGCCTAAACCCACTCCACTGCCATGTTGAGTGTTGTTGAATAAAGGTGGTGATGCCATGGAAGCTTTGATGAGTCTGAAGCGATTTTAAGTGTCTCAAAGCAACACCCGTATAAGTCACAGCGGGCTGGTTTCCACTGCAGAACTATTAGAGATGACCAGTTTTACCTACTTTCAATGCAAGCGGTCATTATTTTATTTCTGATTCACTCAGAATTATTCAAATAATTAATTTCCTTTAGAATATGCAGCTTTGGGATCAACAGTGTACATACTGGTATGTTTGTTACAGAATTAACCTGTCAGGTTTCTAATCACTCACCAGTTACAGTTTTATTATCACATCCCTTTTTCATTGGCCATACAAGATACAAGCCAAATATTCTAAATCCCCAAACACACATCATTTGACATATAGTCTACAAAGTTTTATAAAAAACCAACATAAAAACATGGATGAAAATTTCAGGTCTAACAGGTTTAACGTTTTCTGTTCAGAAGATGTTCTAAGAACCATAAGGAAACAATTCAGAATGAAGATCCAGAGAGGGAGCGGACGTCCCTTCGCATTCAGCAGCCCAGTCAGTGTCGTGTCCGTGGACCATCATGGTACTGGCGTTCCTTTCAGTACAGAACAAACACCTGTCTGGGGTGATTAGACAGACTGGAAGCTCCAAGTCACCCTTTTCTCCTTCAGACGGAGGCTGACGTAGCTTGAGTTAGCTCAGCGGGCGCTCTGGTGAAGGCTGTGATCCTGCAGCAGCAGCAGCAGCAGGGACAAATGTCTTACAGCAGATATTTTAAAGACACTCATATTGGTAGCAATGTTTTATAGCTGTAATTACAAAACACTTTAGAAAATATTGCTTTCTAATAAAGCAAAAAAACAAAACAAAAACAAAAAACAAAACAAAAAAACACAAAACAACAACAATCAACTGTTTGCAGCCCTGAGTGACTGGTCCTTTGTAAACAGGTGTATGATAATGTGGAGCTTCTCCTTGTGAGGGTGAATCCTGGTGGCTCGTGGTGAAGACGTGATGAGTCGGGTTGGGATGGGGATGTTGGTCAGAGTTATTTATTAATGATTCTAGTCAGACTGCAGGTTTGAGATGAGCATGTGATCTGGAGCTGGTGACTTAATCCCTCGTGGCTTAGTGATCCTGGATCGGGGTCAGCCTGGAGCTCTTCAGAGTCGGATCTACAACAATAAAAACAGGATTTAGGGACAGGAACAGGGAACAACACCCAACCCAGTCTGTACCCACTCTGTTTAACGGTGTTGGATGTTAAGAGCTCTGGTTTAATATATTAGTCTCTGCCTTTGGTCCTCTCATTTCAGACTCCTGGGGAAAAGAGAGACAAGATGGCACCAGTGTGTTCAGTTAGCCGTCTTCCACTGGAATTTCTGCTTGTGGTTTAAATGTTTTCTTGTTTCATGAGCCACATAGCTGACTCTCTGCGGGTGATTGATTGCAATACGCTTCTAGACCTTTGTTTTTCAGATGGGATTCCTTCTGATAAAAGTTGTACAGGATACTTTGCCACCTCATTTGGCTGGAATTCCAGCATTTAAGTGCCGTGATCCTGTGCCTCTGCCCTAGAGGAGACGTTCTCAGTGCCAGGAGAAGAGCTGAGGGAAGCGAAGAAAAGCTAATGAGGTTAAAGTTCAAGCAGTTGCCTCTTCTCGTCGCGGCTAATGGCATACTCCTATTGTAACGTACCAAGTGGTCAAATTTTCACAGACAAATTGACCAGAAAGTAGCCTTTCATTTGCAGACATAAACCCACCATCTGTTTGGCCCCAAATCCAAAACAAGACTGCCCCAGTTCTTGCTACTGCAACAAAGCCAAAACATCTTTGGTCAAGGCCTCATGGCGACTGCTGAATCCTCACTCTAAAGAAAAGTCAAACTCCTTGAAGTTCCTACATGACTTTAAAACTTATAAGTTGGAATGATCATATGTGTTGAATGAACATGATGTTTAAATGAAATGTTTGAATAATCTGTGCTTTAATCAATGTCAATATACTGTTTATGTTTATGTATTTAGCAGACGCTTTTGTCCAAAGCGACTTACAAGTGATAATCAGCATGTTGCCCTTGAGGCTAACAACAACAACTTGACATCAGTCATGGAGAGTAGGGAACAAGGAGTGGACAGTAGAGAGGGGGGACGGGTGCAGGGAGGGTACTAGTTAAGAAGATGCTCTCTGAAGAGCAGGGTCTTCAGGAGTTTCTTGAAAATAGAAAAGGAAGCTCCTGTTCTGGTAGCGCTTGGAAGGTCATTCCACATTTGTGGAACGATGCATGAGAAGAGTCTGGATTGTCCTGAGCGTGGTGTAGGCACTGGTAGCCGACGGTCCTGTGATGACCGGAGCGGCCGGGCCGAGACGTAAGCTTTGCAAGAGGATTCAGGTAGATGGGAGCCGTATCATCTCGGACTTTGTATGCTAGTGTTAGCAATTTGAATTTGATGCGTGCTGCTAGCGGTAGCCAGTGGAGCTCAATGAACAGAGGGGTGACGTGTGCTCTTTTTGGCTGATTGAAGACCAGACGCGCCGCTGCGTTCTGGACCATTTGAAGAGGTCTCACAGTACAGGCTGGAAGACCAGTTAGAAGGGCATTGCAGTAATCGAGGCGGGAGATGACAGTAGATTGCACCAGGAGCTGGGTGGCATGTTGTGTTAGGTATGGTCTGATCTTTCGTATGTTAAACTGCGCAAAGCGGCATGAACGAGCAACAGAGGCAACAGGATCTTTAAAGCTCAGGTGTTCATCAATCACAACACCCAGATTTTGAACTGCCTTTGAAGGAGCCAGAGATAGGAAGTCATTTTGGATTGAGATACTGTGCTGTATGGATGGTTTTGCTGGGATGACAAGTAGTTCAGTTTTAGAGAGGTTGAGTTGCAGATGCTGGGATTTCACCCATTTTGATATGCCAGAGAGAAAGTTTGATATTCGTGCAGATATATACTCGTACACATTATAATATGTAACATTCACTTCACATAAGTGTTTAAAAACATTCTCATTCCCACAAAGAGTTAACCTCTCTGAGTAGCTGAAGGAAGGTGTGACGTTTGATAAAACCCACAAACGTGTCAAATTCTGATTTGACAAATCTGCCAAGTTTATCAACAGTGTGGTTTTAATAAAACAGAAATTACTTCCCGATCAATTCAGTTTCCAGCTGACTCCCAATTTGGCCAAATCAGGGAAGAAGCAGTTTTGAAACCATCTCTTCTGACACCCAGTCAAAAGCCTCTCTGCAACGCTGCGAGGGATACAGACACAAAACAGCTCTTCTAAGAGCCAACAACAACAGCCTTAGACGCAAACAAGCATTCCAGCTTCCTGTTGTGACCTGGAGAGATCTCAGACTAGACGGGTCCTATCGGAGCTAATCTAAGGGTTCCTGATATCGAGAGGTTCACTCCACCAGCAGTGTCCACCACGACCCCCTGGATCGCACAAAAATCTCCAAAAAAGGGTATCATAGACTCAACAGACTGCGTCAGATGATTTTCATGAATAGATCTCTAGCTAGAAAGCTGAGTCAGAAGGCAAAGCTCTCGATTTACCGGTCGATCTACGTTCCTACCCTCACCTATGGTCATGAGCTTTGGGTGGTGACCGAAAGAACGAGATCGCGGATACAAGCGGCCGACATGAGTTTTCTCCGAAGAGTGGCTGGGCTCTCCCTTAGAGATAGGGTGAGAAGCTTGATCATTCGGGAGGGGCTCGGAGTAGACCCGCTGCTCCTCCACATCGAGAGGAGCCAGTTGAGGTGGCTCGGGCATCTGGTCAGGATGCTTCCTGGACGCCTCCCTGGTGAGGTTTTCCAGGCACGTCCAACCGGGAGGAGACCTAAAGGTAGATCCAGGACACGGTGGAGGGACTATGTCTCTCACCTGGCCAGGGAATGCCTTGGGATTCCCCCGGAGGAGCTGGCCCAAGTGGCTAGGGAGAGGGAAGTCTGGGCCTCTCGCCTTAGGCTACTGCCCCCGTGGCCCGACTCCGGATAAGCGGATAGAAATGGATGGATGGATGGATCGCTAGCTTACCAAATAAACAGCCAAATTTACTTTACAACCCAGATTCCATAAATTCTCTCAGATACTAAAGAAAGGTTTTTGCTAAAACATCTAGCTTCCATTGCAGCATTCCACACATCAAATTAAATCACTTCATATCCATTATATTACACATCATTATTCATACCTTGTCATGAATAATTATTAGTTTAGGGAAAAATAAATAAATTCATTTTTATAAACTATATACTTGACTCTGTCTGAATTAATACAAAGTGTGTTTATGGTCCCTGAATAAGTAAAGTATCTAGAATCTTCTGATTAAACATTCAAAGACCACTCAGATTGATATTTCATACTTATATGGAATTATCACATCTTATTGATCATTTTAATAAATATGATAAATGATAAATGACCCGCACTTGTATAGTGCCTCTCAGAGTAAGGACTCCAAAGCGCTTTACACTACAGTGTATCATTCATCCATTCACACACACATTCACACACTGGTGGGGATGAGCTACGATGTAGCCACAGCTGCCCTGGGGCGCGCTGACAGAGGCGAGGCTGCCGAGCACAGGCGCCACCGGTCCCTCCGACCACCACCAGCAGGCAAGGTGGGTTAAGTGTCTTGCCCAAGGACACAACAGCAGAATTCTCTGTCCAGAGCCGGGATCGAACCTGCAACCTTCCGATTACGGGACAACCCACTCAACCTGTTGAGCTACTGCTGCAAATCATCAACACTACACTATCCAGGGATCCGAGGCGTCTGGTGAATCCCCTAGGCTCCTGGCTGGTTCCTGTTGCTGGCTTTGATTGTTTGGATAGGCCACTCCAGACTTATTCCCCCATCCTTGGCAGCATGAGAGTAATGCTGCCAATTTGTGGCCCCGTGGCCGAACTTAGGGATGGCTCCCCGCAGCTCCGAGACTGGCCATTAAGTTTGGACTGGCTAATGCAAGGTCTAAATCAAACAAGACTTTTATCATCAGGGACTTCTTAGCAGACAATGATTTGGATGTTCTCTGTGTCTCTGAGACTTGGACGTCTCCTGAAAGTCAGTCTAGCAATTTTTCAGAATGATTGCCTCTGGGTTATTTTAATTAGTTTCGAATGTCAGGGTGTGGTGGTGGAACTGCAACGGCATTTATGGACTCTTTTAAAAGTAAGCGATTTTGCCCTTCTTTTTCTCTCAGCAGTTTTGAATTTCATCATTTTGAACATGATCGTAATGGCCCCGTAGTGTGTGTGGTGCTGTATCGTCCACTCGGGTATAACAAGGACTTTCTGGCAGAGTTTGCTGGGCTTTTAGCTTAAGTGCTGCCAGAGTATAATAGGTTGCTTATGTAAGGTTATTATATTTGTTGCCCTGACAAACCAATGATGAATGTATTCTTGAGAATTGTGGACTCTTAATTTGGTGCAGCATGTTTGTGCCCCAACGCAGGAGTTTAGGTCCTCCACCACCTCCCTTACCCATGGTGTCCCACAAGGTTCTGTGCTGGGGCCTCTGCTCTTCCTCCTCTATCTGCTTCCTCTTCAGCACATCCTGAGCTCCTTCAAAGGAATCTTCTACCATCTTTATGCAGATGACATCCAACTGTACATCTCCTTTAAGCCCCATGAGATGTCTAAGCTGCAGCTGTTACACACCTGCTTAGACTCTATTAAAACCTGGATGGTGGGAGCTTTCTTCAGCTGAATGAAGATAAGACTGAGATCCTCATCTGTGCCCCAGACAAGCTGGTTCCCAAAGTCAGAGATTCTCTTGGTCAGCTTGCTTCTCACACCAAACCTTCCGTCAGGAATCTTGGCGTGACCTTTGACCCAGCTCTCACCCTGGATTCTCATGTCAGTTCTCTTGTTGGCTCTTCCTTCTTCCATCTCAGGAACATTGCTAAGCTGAGTCCCATTCTGTCCCGCTCTGAACTTGAGACAGTTATCCACACATTCATCTCCTCATGCTTAGACTACTGTAACTCTCTTTTCACGTGTCTGAGCAGAACCTCCCTGAACTGTCTACAGGTGGTTCAGAATGCCTGTGCTCAGCTTCTGACCAAGTCCTCCAAACACACCCACATCACCCCGCTTCTCCTCCAGCTTCACTGGCTGCCAGTCAATTTCAGGGTTCATTTCAAGATCCTGGTTCTGGTCTATAGGGCCTTACGTGGACAACCACCATCTTACATTGGTGATCTTCTTAGTCCCTACACCCCCAGCAGGTCCCTGAGGTCCAGTGATCAAAGCCTACTGGTTGTGCAGCACCAGGCTAAAGGTCAAAGGTGACAGATCATCTGCTGCTGTGGCCCCCAGACTCTGGAACTCTCTCCCCCTGAGCCTGAGATCAGTGGACTCAGTGGTCTCCTTTAAAAAGCAGCTGAAGATTCACTTGTTCAGGCTGGCTTTTGTATGACCTTCTTCACCACTCTCTCTTTATTCTGCTCTCCCCACCTATTCCACCTTCCTCAGGATCCACTGATTTCCCTCTTGCCTGTTCACTCTCTCTCTTTCTTAACATATTTTTAATCACAATTGTCTATTTTTTGCTAATTTTAAATATATTTTAACGATTTTCTAAATTCTTTGTATTTTTTACATTTTTTATTTTTGTGAAGCGCCTCGTGATTTTTTTTCTTGAGAGGCGCTATAGAAATGATACTTACCTTCTTCTTCTTCTTCTTCTTCTTCTTCTTCTTCTTCTTCTTCTTCTTCTTCTTCTTCTTCTTCTTCTTCAGGAGCACGGTCATATTCTTGACCTGCTTTAAACATGTGGTGTGTTGATCTGTGATGTTATTTTCTCAGACCACATGCTTGTGTTGTTTACTTTCTGTCTCATATGACTGATGTGTCTGTGGGATCTTCTGCATGGTGACACAATTGTTAGCACTGTTGCCTCGTAGCACGATGGTTGCAGGTTCGAAACTCTGCTGTGGCCTTTCTGTGTGGAGTTGCGTGTTCTCCCCATACATGCGTGGGTTTCCTCCGGGTACTCCGGTTTCCCCCACAGATCACAACATGCCCTACAGGTTATAAATTGTAAGTCGCTTTGGATAACAGTGTCTGCCGAGATAAATAAACATAAACATCTTCTGTATACCCACGGCTAGTTAGAGTTATTAACCCTTTAACTGCTACTTGTTTCTCTTCTGCCTTTGATGAAATTCCTGCACCTCCTAATGCTGCCTATTGGATGTGAATGCACGAAACTCCTGGCTCCATGTTACCTGCATCTATATGATGGATTCTGTGGCTCCACTGAAGCCTAGGGTGTCCAAGGCTAGATTGGAGCCACGGCTGAATGGGTCTACATGCTTATCAAAGTGGAGGTGTTGACTCGCAGAAAGGAAGTGGAAGAATGATAGGTCATTGAGCTCTTTTCAGGTGCTAAGGGACTGTATTTGTTGCTATCAGGAGACAGTGAGAGATGCTAGGAGGGTGCATTTCTCAAATGTGATACCATCTGCACGTCACAGGCCATGAATGCTTATTAATGTTATTGATAGTATCCTCAATATTCACCAAACAGTGGGGTTTGAGCCCTCTGTGATGTCTTGCAAAGTGTTTTTGAGATTCTTTGTGGATTAAAATAGACAATATCAAATCTCTGATTCTGTCAGCCCAAAGGCTTTTAAAAGAAGTGTTTTCATCAGTTGGTCCTTGGCTTCTTGCTGTTGTTAATCAGAGCATTGTCTCTGGGATAGTAGCAGGGAACTGGAAGCATGCGGAAGTCTCTTTTGACCTCAAGGTCACAGTCGTTCTGCAAGGCTTGCGAGTGATTTCAGACACACAACTAAGAAGGATCACCAAGGTAAGAAACTTGCTGTCAAAATGGTAATTTATTACTTCATAATGTACCATATTTTCCGGACTATAAGCCACTACTTTTTCCCACGCTTTGAACCACGTTTTCCCAGCTTCACCCGGGGATGATGACAGCAACACGGAGAGCGACACTGACATCGCCACAGAAAAAGTATGTGACGAAGCTCTTCTGAGGCTGTTCAACTCCGACACTGAAGAAGATGACTTCAGTGGTTTCAGAGCGCAGGAGGACGATGAATAAACTAATCAATAACTTTTCTGTTTTGTTTGATACTGATCAGTTCAGTTACGTTCAGTTAAACCAAGTTTTCAATTCAGTAGATATCTGCGGCTTTTAGCCCGGTGCGGCTTATATTGAGGTGTGCTGTATAGTCCAGAAATTATGGTAATTCCTTGTACTTTGGTGTTTCACAGTCCCACCTCTCCCAGCTTCAGTTGGTGCAGAATGCAGCTGCACATCTGATCACTGGGATTACAAAGATGGAACACGCTACTCCTGTCTTGGCCTCACTGGCTGCCTGTTCGTTATAGAATTCACTACAAGGTACTTTTATGGGCTTTTAAATCTCTGCATTGCCTTGCTCCAAGTTACCTCTCAGAGCTACTTGTCTTTTACTCCCCTGCACAGTCTCTGAGGTCGGCTCATAGGCTACTCCTGAAAGTCCCTAGAATGAGACGTAAGCTCAGAGGTGACAGGGATTTTTCAGTAGCAGACCACCCTCTCCTTTAGAATGCCCTGCCTTTGATCATTAGGTTGTCATCTTCCCTGTCTTGTTTTAAATCTTGTTTTGTTGTTGTTTGTTGTTGACAATTGTTTTAAAGCACTGTGCTGAAAGTGAAAGTACAATTTGTTTCACTTCAACAAGTAGACACTTTTTGATGAAGGACCACTAAGGCATCTAAACTCCACTGTTTAAGAAGTGTAAATGCAGTATTGTTAGATTTTTTATATGTCTGACAGTTTCACTGGATTTGCAGACTGGGGTGGTGGTCCCCCTATTAAAAAGGGGGGACCTCAGAGTGTGTGCCAACTACAGAGGGATCACACTTCTGAGCCTCCCTGATAAAGTCTATTCAGGGGTTCTGGAGAGGAGGGTCCATCGGATTGTTGAACCTCGGATTCAGGAGGAGCAATGTGGTTTTTGTCCTGGCTGTGCAACACTGGACCAGCCCTATACCCTCAGGGGGATCCTGGAGGGTGCGTGAGAGTTTGCTCAACCAATCTACAATTGTTTTGTGGATTTGGAGAAGGTGCTCGACCACGTCCCTCGGAGGGCCTTGTGTGGGGTACTTTGGGAGTATTGGGTACCAGGCCCTCTGATACGGGCTTTTAGGTCCCTGTATGACTGGTGCTAGTGCTTGGTCTGCATTGCCAACAGAAAGTCAAGCTTTATTCCGATGAGAGTTGGGCTCCATTAAGGCTGCTCATTGTCACCGATTCTGTTCATAACTTTTATGGACAGGATTTCTAGGTGCAACCAAGGTGCTGAGGGGATCTGTTTTGGTGGCCTACTGATCAGGTGTCTGCTTTTTGCTGTTGGCTTCATCAGAGTGTAATCTCCAGCTTTCGCTGAAGCGGTTCTCAGCCAAGTGTGAATTTAGAGTTTAGGTATCTCGGTGTCTTGTTCACGAGTGAGGAAAAAATGGAGCATGAGATTGACAGGCGGATTGGTGCTGCATCTGCAGTGATGTGGGCGTTGTACCGGTCTGTCGTGGTGAAGAGCTGAGCCAGAAGGCAAAGCTCTTGATTTACCGGTCAATCTAAGTTCCGACCCTCACCTGTGGTAACGAGCTTTGGGTGGTGATCCTCCATGTCGAAAGGAGCCAGTTGAAGCGGCTCGGGCATCTGGTCAGGATGCCTTCCTGGTGAGGCTTTCCAGGTAAGTCCTACAGGGAGGAGACTCAAGGAAAGACCCAGGACACTTTGGAGGGACTATGTCCCTTGGCTAGCCATGGAGTGCCTTAGGGTTTCCCCGGAGGAGCTGGCCCAAGTGGCTGGGGAGAGGGAAGTCTGGGCCTCTCGCCTTAGGCTACTGCTCCCGTGATCCGACTCTGGATAAGTGGATGGAAATGGGTGGATTCACGGGTGATTATGAAACTGAAACATCATGTCTGAAATCAACCAAATCCAAAAAAAGTTCCTGTATTTGTATATCTGTAAAGCTTTGAGTGTTTTAGTTGTGAGATCATGCTCTCCCTGTTCTAAGATCACACAGATTCCAGACTCTTATTCCTACAGTCTGGCACAAACGTCTCTGATGGGAGGGCCTTTTTCCAGGGTTTCCTTGTCATTGCTTCAACAGTTTTTGAAAGACATCTCATTTTACATGATATTAATAATCAAACCAGTGTTAATTTCATGAAATAGCTGCAGGCCTGAGGACCAAGGGTTGTACCGTGTAGCAGTGGAGCAGGCTTGCTGACTTTAACCACGTCACTTTGGGACATAGCCTCAGCCATCCAGGACAGGATGTTGCAGCAGTACTCCAGCTGGGGAACAAACAGACAGAGACAGATGAGTGCTGAACAGACAGACCTGACAGCTGCACAGAAACCAGACACATAACATGCCAACACATACATCCTCATGTAGGGTTTAGGTCAATTTAACTCACTCAAATTCTTGTTAGTTCCGTTATTAAATGGAAAACATGACAGACTCAAAACATATCTACAAAATTCCATCTGAGCCCAACACTGCCACAAACCCTCTTAAAGCTTGTTTTCCTCTCTCTCCGTGTTTAACTTTGAAAGGGATGTATCATGCTTCATTTTCTCAAGTTATAATACTTCTGTAGTCGATGCAAAACATGTTTATCAAGTTCTTTGAACTGAATCCCTCCCACATGAAGTGAACTCAGACATTTTCAGTTCCTTCCAAAATGAATCGTTTCAGGGCTCTGTCATTCAAAGGAAACAAACTGGAGCTATCCCCCCCACATCTGCTCTGGCTACTATAAGCTGAGAAGCTCAGATATTTGGGAGGAGCTCGAAGTAGAATTACTGAGGTCAGGGGAACTCAGTGGTAATCTTCCAATTTGTGACATCACAAACTGGGACTTTTTGAATTAACTTGTTTTAGGTACATAATTCCTAAAATCAAATACTGACGGTGCCTTGGTCTGCCTGGGTGTTCGTGGCTCCCGGGTCAGGGGGGTTTAAGATTTTTGGCATCTGCCTGATCAATCCCGGTGGCTGTCTGGTGGAGTATGGGTCACTGGGCTCTGCTGGGTCCCCGGCGGGGGGTGGTCGCCCCTGGGTCCCGGGTCACTGGGTCCCGGGCTCGGCCGGCTAGGGGGTGGGAGACTGCGGGCAGGCCTGTGGGCTTGCCGTTGACATCTCCCAGGACTCTGCGGGCTGCTGGTTGTGGCCCCCCGGGGCGATCCTCTGTGCCTCTCGAGGGGGGCGGGGGCCTTTCTGGCTGCAGTCTCCTTGGGGTTCCTGTGTTCTGGGGCAGCGTCTGGGACTTGGAGCTCCCTCCGTCTCCTACACATCTTTGGGGGGCAGATCTGTGGCCCCCCACACTCTCTATTGGATGCTTTTATAGAGAAACCTTACATAAAAAAGCGCATGTACACACACAAAGGTGCTCACATGGTGCTCTCAAAAGTTTGGGCTTGGGCACGTTCAACACATGTCTTAAGGCTGTCGTTGCCACCAAATGCACTATGATTTATTATCATGTGATTGTTCAGTTAAACAATGCTGATTGTATATTTCGTCAAGTTGACACAACAATAGCTTGCTCCTGTTGTATTGTTGTGTGTCCCTTTTTTTCTACTCTTTCTCTTTCTGCAGGTCTAGAAGCAGACTCTTGTTTATTATTGTTTATTTTTGCGGAACAACTCCCCCCCCCCCCCCCCCCCCCCCCCCCCCCCCCCCCCGCCGGCGCGTCTTTGGAGAAGGGAATCCCAGGTGCGAGACAGCTGATAGCCCCCCCTCGTTCAACTGTTCCTATTTCATTATTTCTAAGGAATTTCAAAGACAAGCCAGCGGGGGGTGTGCGTGACAGACCCAGCAGATCTGACAGAAACGGGTTGGTCAAGCCCACCAGAAGAACAGCTGATAAAGAAGCGTCACACAAACATCTGTGACACTTCTGAAGACCGCAGTCACTGGTCGAAGCATGTCAAGGTAAACTCATAACATAACCGTACATGTCCGAATCAAAAAATTATGTCCTTAAGTATTTAAGAACATGACATAATGAACATTGTAAAGGAATAGTTCCTCATATAAACATTTACATTTTTTTAGGATTTAAAGCACAGAGGACTGGAATATCTCAGCAATCCCTGAGCACAATAATGCAGACAAGCACTAGATCATAGGCATCAGAACCATTTTGTCAGAAGGGGAGTTGTCTCCCCACTTTTAAAAATGACCCATTTGGTCCCCCCCACATTTAGTCCACGCTCATTTGAGCATTCTCAAAGAAATCCATTCCACTTGATAAAGTAGAAATTACTCAGTCTGCTGAAATCCATTCCATGTTTTCCTGATCGATTCGCTCTAGTGCGCACATGGAGAGAAGAGTATCGCTCCAGACCCGGAGACTGCATATTCAGGCCGATGCAGCCATACATTATTGGAGAAGGGTCCAGACACTATTGGAGAATGGTCCATACACTAATGGAGAAGGGTCCATACACTATTGGCGAAGTGTTCATACACTACTGGAGAAGGTTTCAGACACTACTGGAGAAGGGTCCATACACTATTGGAGAATGGTCCATACACTATTGGAGAAGGGTCCATGCACTATTGGAGAAGGTTCCAGACACTATTGGAGAAGAGTCCAGACACTATTGGAGAAGGGTCCATACACTATTGGAGAAGGGTGCATACACTATTTGTAGAGGGGTCCATACACTTTGGAGAAGGGTCCATACGCAATTGGAGAAGGGTCCAGACATGATTGGAGAAGGGTCCATACACTATTGGAGAAGGGTCCATACACTATTGGAGAAGGGTACAGACACTATTGGAGAAGGGTCCAGACAATATTGGAGAAGGGTCCATACACTATTGGAGAAGGGTCAATACACTATTGGTGAATGGTCCATACACTATTGGAGAAGGGTCCATACGCTATTGGAGAAGGGTCAATACACTATTGGAGAATGGTCCATACACTATTGGAGAAGGGTCCAGACATGATTGGAGAAGGGTCCATACGCTATTGGAGAAGGGTCCAGACATGATTGGAGAAGGGTCCAGATACTATTGGGGAAGGGTCCAGACAGTATTGGAGAAGGGCCCAGACACTGCTGGAGAATGGTCCATACACTATTGGAGACTGTTCAGGACACTATTGGAGAAGGGCCCAGACATGACTGGAGACAGTTCCAGACACTATTGGAGAATGGACAATACACTATTGGAGACAGTTCCAGACACTATTGGAGATGGGTCCAGAGACTATTGGAGAAAGGTACAGACACTATTGGATATTGGTCCATATACTATTGGAGAAGGGTCCATACACTATTGGAGAAGGATCTAGACACTATTGGAGAACGGTACAGACACTATTGGAGAAGGGTACAGACACTATTGGATAAGGGTCCCGACACTACGTGTCCACACACTATAGGAGAAGGTTCCAGACACAACTAGAGATGATTCCAGACACTATTGGAGACAGTTTCAGACACTATTGGAGAAGGGCCCAGACATGATTGGAGAATGGTCCATACACTATTGGAGCCAGTTCCAGACACTATTGGAGAAGGGTCAATACACTATTGGAGACAGTTCCAGACACTATTGGAGAAAGGTCGAGACATTATTGGAGAAGTGTCCATACACTAATGGAGAAGGTTCCATACACTATTGGAGACAGTTCCAGACACTACTCGAGATGGGTCCATACACTGTTGGAGAAGGGTCCAGACACTATTGGAGAAGGATCCAAACACTATTGGAGAAGGGTCCAGACACTATTGGAGAAGGGTCCATACACTATTGGAGAAGGGTCCGTACACTATTGGAGAAGGGTCCAGACACTATTGGAGAACTGTACAGACACTATTGGAGAAGGGTACAGACACTATTGGAGAAGTGTCCGTACACTATAGGAGACGGTTCCAGACACTGTTGGAGAAGGGTCCAGACATTATTGGAGAAGGGCCCAAACACGATTGGAGAATGGTCCATACACTATTGGAGCCAGTTCCAGACACTGTTGGAGAAGGGTCCAGACACTATTGGAGAAGGGTCCAGACACTATTGGAGAAGGGTCCAGACAATATTGGAGACGGTTCCAGACATTATTGGAGAATGGTCCATACACTATTGGAGACAGTTCCAGACACTATTGGAGACAGTTCCAGACACTATTGGATAAGGGTCCAGACACTACGTGTCCACACACTATTGGAGAAGGTTCCAGACACAACTAGAGATGATTCCAGACACTATTGGAGAATGGTCCATACATTAATGGAGAAGGTTCCAGACACTGCTGGAGATGGTTCCAGACACTATTGGAGAATGGTCCATACACTATTAGAGACAGTTCCAGACACTATTGAAGAATGGTCCATACACTATTGGAGACAGTTCCAGACACTATTGGAGAAGGGTCCAGACATTATTGGAGAAGTGTCCATACACTATTGGAGAAGGCTCCATACACTATTGGAGACAGTTCCAGACACTATTGGAGAAGGGCCCAGACATTATTGGAGACAGTTCCAGACACCATTGGAGAATGGTCCACACACTACTGGAGACAGTTCCAGACACTATTGGAGATGGGTCCATGCACTGTTGGAGAAGGGTCCAGACACTATTGGAGAAGGTTCCAGAGACTTTTGGAGAAAAGTACAGACACTGTTGGATATTGGTCCAGACACTATTGGAGAAGGGTCCAGACACTATTGGAGAAGGGTCCATACACTATTGGAGAAGGGTCCATACACTATTGGAGAAGTGTCCATACACTATTGGAGAAGGTTCCAGACACTATTGGAGAAGGGTTCAGACACTATTGGAGAAGTGTACGTACACTATTGGAGAAGGTTCCAGACACTATTGGAGAATGTGTCATGGTTCTGCCTTCTCTCTGCTGCTGCTGCTATTTTCCCTTCATTGTTTGCAGGTGAGCATGTTGGGGAGCAGCAGCTGCAGCTAATTACCATCAGCCTGGCCAGAGGATTTAAGGAGTGGTGCTGCCACACCTCATTGCCGGTTGATTACTGTTGGGTACATCTAGCCACATCCTTATCTGTGCCTTGACTCTAAGACTCGTTTTACCTGTACTAATCCAGCTCTGCATTCTTGTCTGTACCAGCCCTGTATTCCCTCCACCCGCCTGAGGTGTGCTTTATCACAGCGTCGTTCAGCTTCCCTGGCCTCCTGCTCTCCACCGCTCACCTGCCTTCCTGGATCCAGCATCTCCTCCAGCGACCATCTCCTCCCTGCATCAACCTGACTTGCCTCTCCCTCCTGCCCCTCGTCCTGCTCAACTCAGTAAGCCCGTTCCTCTCATTTTTATACATTTCCTGGTTCTCAGTTTCTAATCACTCTCACTGTTGTTCTTCTTAGAGTCGGAGTTGCCTCGTTTCCTGTCCCGTTTGGATCAGCGCCCTTAGTTTTCCCTTTGTTGTTTTTTTCTAAAATAAAGATATTGTATTATCATCTCTTACCTTATCCCTGAGTGATTGTTCATGTGAGTTAAGAAATTACCACCCATCATGACAGAATGTTCCAGACACTATTGGAGAATGTTCCAGACACTATTGGAGAAGGGTCCAGAAACTATTGCACATGGAGGGAGGTCAAGTAAAAAAACAAAAACAAGACAATATAGAACCGAAGTGAAACTTCAGTGCAGGCTTGTGAAGCTGGGGAAGGAGAATTCACTCCAACAATAGGTTTTTTCCATGTCTGATCCCTCCACAGACATGGATATCAGGAGATTTCTCATAAATATACGGAACCTGTCTGCTGACATTGAGAGAAAAAAAAACTCGTGGCCACTAGATACTTAACACGTTCCCACGAGTTATTAACACGAGGCCACTTGATCCTTCATGCATGGGAACGAGTTATTAACTCATTGTTTACAGCCTGATTCCAAAACATGTTTTAGGTTTAATAGATCTAGCTCCGGAGAAAGGCCTCAGTCTGAGCCTTGGCCTCGCCTGAAAACTAATCTGCCATTTTCAGTCTCTCAACTTAGACCATTAGTTGTAGCATTTGTGCATTCTTTTTGGATATTATTTGTGCAATTGTTGGACAAAATGACTTGCTGTGGTATTAATTGCACTAATAGAGCATCCAAGGAGTCTCCATTTCATTTTTTTCAGTAAGTAAAATTATATTTATGTATTTTAGGTCACTGACGCTCTTGCACTAGCTGAGCTTAGATTTTAACATGTACTGTTTAACCATGAAATTTAAATGTAATAGGGTAAAACCCAGTGCATTTAACATAATGCTGCACTTTAGAAAATGGGTTGAAATATGTTGGTGGAGCTGGGTTCCGACTATCGGCATGGTCCCCTCAGCGGCAGCTCGGTGCATCTCTGATCGCAGCGGCACCTGTCTGCTGCTGCTAGTGGAGCTCTCGGGAGACCTCTGTGTTCCACTCGGTTTTACCCAGCGGTCAGCGCGGCGCATCTCTGACTCAGAAGCTCCGGTGTTGTGCACAGTTAACTCCGGTTGTAGCTACGTAGCTACTTCTGTTAGCTTAACTCCCACCTCCGCATTAGCTTTGGGTTAGCTTGTAGCTACATTGCTTCAGTTCGATTGGTGTCGTCATTTGATCCCAGCCTTACAGCCCCACCCTCAGCTCCACCTCTTTTCTCTTTTTTGGAATTGTCTGAGTTTGACGGTGACACGGTCAAAATGGCGGTGGTGGCCACCTCCTATTTTGGCACAAAAACTTATAATTGGAGCCTATGGAAACATATTGTCCAGTATATATGTCGATGGACATGCCATCGATAAGCTGATTTCTTTCAGCACCATGGGCAGCAGCGTTATGCTTCATGTCTTGTGTCAAGGCCACCTGCAAAACCGCACGCCGGAAAACAATGGTAAATGTTGCGGAGTTCATCTTTCTTCCTCAGTGTCACCAGATGGGCATCGTACAAAGAATCATAAAGTAAGTTAAGAAGTCCCACAGGACAGGTCTTACTGGAGTTAGCTGGCTAGTGTCACACTCTGTCCTGTCTCCCCATTCTTTTCAGTCCTTTGTCCATGTTAATTGCTCCCACCTGCCTCCCATCTCCCAATCACCCAAGGTCCCAGCTCCTCCTGTATTTAAACCCTTTCAATCCTTTTTGTCTTGTTGGTTCATTGTTTCGTTGTCCTGCATGTTTTATTAAAAACCCTTTGAATGTTCCCGGTCTGTTTGCCTGCCTGCTTCCTCTGCATTTGGATCCTCACCTCCGATCTCCTCACCTGCACGTCATGACAGCTAGTCAGTGTTATTCATCAGCTAGGCTCTCTGGCTGTTTAAACATTTATTAGGCAGACTGGTTCTGTGGTTCTGATCCAATCTACTGTTCTTAGTTAAAGTTAATGAAATCTGACCAGGAGAAACTCTCACCTATAATTCAACTGTTACTAGTAAAATGTCTAATTTAAAACAGATGCAATGAAACAACGTCCAGCTATCAGTGATTTTATTTTAATATCTGAACTTACATTTAAAATAGAACTACTTTCATTTCAGCTGGGAGGAACCTCAGTCTTGTACTGCAAACACATGAATGGCAAATGTGACATCATTTGTCCTAAGACTAATTATATTTGAGAAATCTCAAGTGTTCATTATGGATAATAAGAATGTTATCATATATATCCATATATCCGGAATATATATCCAATCTGCCTGATAAATGTTGCTTAGGTTTTTTTTAAGGATTTGGGTTTGTCTCAGATCAGTGCAGTTGTTGGATATCCTTACATAAAATTTCTACTACTAACAAAATACCTGCTGATATCTGTATTTTCAATTTGGCTAGTAATAATAATATTAAGACTGGGATAAATTAAATTGTTGCTTTGTACACTGAACAAAAATATAAATGCAAACTTTTGTTTTTGCTCCCATTTTTCATGAGCTGAAATCAAACATCTGAAACTTTGTCTACATGCACAAAAAACCCATGACTCTCAAATATGGTTCTGAAATCTGTCTGCATGTGTGTTAGTGAGCACTTTTCCTTTACCAAGAAACTCCATCCCACCTCACAAGTGTGGCATATCAAGGGGCTGATTAGACAGCATGAATAATGTACAGGTGTGCCTTATACTGCCCACAATAAAAGGACACCCTGAAATGTGCAGTTTGATCAAACAGCACAATGCCACAGATGTCGCAACCTTTGAGGGAGTGTCCAATTGGCATGCTGACTGCAGGAATGTCTACAAGAGCTGTTGCCCAGGAAAAGAATGTTACTTTCCCTACCATAAGCCGTCTCCAAATGCGTTTCACAGAATTTGGCAAAATCCAACCGGCCTCACAACTGCAGACCACATGTGACCACACCAGCCCAGGACCTTCACATCCAGCATGTTCACCTCCAGGATGATCATAGAAAAGTCACCTGGACAGCTGCAACAACAATCGGTTTGCACAACCAGAGAATTTTTGCACAAACTGTCAGAAACTGTCTCAGGGAAGCTCATCTGCATGCTCATCGTCCTCACCTCGACGTCGTCTGGACCTGACAGCAGGACCTACTTGAGTGGGCAAACACTCATATTCAGTGGCGTTTGGCATGTTGGAGAGGTGGTATGTTCACAGATGGGTCCTGGTTCTCACTGTTTTGGGCAGATGGTAGACTGAGTGTGTGGTGTTGTGTAGGTGAGCAGTTTGCTGATGTCATCATTGTGGAACGAGTGGCCCATGGTGGCAGTGGGGTACTGGTATGGGCAGGCATATGTGACGAGATCCTGAGGCCCATTTATGTGCCATTCATCCACGACCATCACCTCATGTGGCAGCATGATAACACATGGACCCATATTGCAAGGATCTGGACACAAATCCTGGAAGCTGAAAACATCCCAGTTTTTGCATGGCCAGCATACTCACCAGACATGTCACCCATTGAGCATGTTTGGGATGCTCTGGATCGGCGTATACGACAGCGTTTTCCAGTTCCTGCCAGTATTCAGCAGTTTCACACAAAACTGTGCACATGTCAGGGTGTCCCTTTGTTGTGGGCAGTCTAAGGCACACCTGTGCATAATTTATGCTGTCTAATCAGCCCCTTGATATGCCACACCTGTGAGGTTGGATGGATTTTCTTGGTAAAGTGCTCACTAACACACATGTAGACAGATTTCAGAACCACGTGTGAGAGTCATGGGTCTTTTGTGCATGTAGACATATTTTCATAGTTCAGCTCTTGAAAAATGGGAGCAAAAACAAAAATGTTGTGTTTATATTTTTGTTCTGTGTAAATTAAGGATATAATTAAGAGGTGTGGTTGTAATTAAATGTTAAAATGGTTCATTAAACTCAAATTCAGTCTATAGCCACCTGCAGGTATTCTTATCGACAAGAATAAAATAAACACAAAATCAACATTTTGTGTCTATTTTTTTGTGTTTTAGTATTTTCAGCGAGAGGTTTGAGGTGAACGATAGTTACTGAGTTAAACTTTTACTACTGTAGGTAAAATAGGTGTAACAACATGTGTAAATACACCAGAATGCAGGAAATGTCATCTACACCATTTTCATTTTTTGTGCCCCCCCTCCGACACACACACACACCTACACACACACACACACACACACACACACACACACACACACACACACACATGCACGCACGCACACACACACGCATGCACACACACACACACACACACTCTAATCATGTACCCCCCACAATTTTTATGCTTCTTACACCCATGCACTAGATATTTATTGTGTGTGTGTGTGTGTGTGTGTGTGTGTGTGTGTGTGTGTGTGTGTGTGTGTGTGTGTGTGCGTGCGAGTGATAGCCCTGAGGCTGTGTATACACATGTTCACACACAGTTTTAGGCTGTTTGGTGGCTCAGTCCACCCTGTTAATCATTCTATTCTGAACCCTGAGAGATGGATAGGAAGCAGCAGCAAGTTATTTTCTGGAGTTTTACTGTTTCACAACCAATGAAGATCTTAAGATTTCTCATCAATTATCAGGGAGGAAGTGTAGTCTTTTAAAATCCTGCTGACCTGAGTCTCCACTTGCTGCAATCTTCTGTCCTGGTCTCGGATTTCTGCCATCTGTTTCAGAACACTGTCCACCCTAAAGAAACACACAGAAGGACTTCATTTACACATCTTCACTTTCACTTCTGTTTAGGGTTAGGGTTAAACGTCTTTCTATCATATTAATTCAGCTTATCTGGTGCTACACCCACGTACACAATTGTGCACTTAAGTGGACTCCAAAAACATTCTCTATGAATTTCATCCCAACAACCCCGCATTGCACTACATTCCCTGCATGGTGGCGCAGTGGTTAGCACTGTTGCCTTGCAGCACGAAGGTTACAGGTTCGAAACTCGGCTGCGGCCTTTCTGCGTGGAGTTGCGTGTTCTCCCCATGCATGCGTGGATTTCCTGGGTACTCCGGTTTCCCCCACAGATCACAACATGTCCTATAGGTTATAAATTGTAAGTCGCTTTGGATAAAAGCGTCTGCCAAATAAATAAACATAAACATAAACATTCCCAGAAAATGTGTCCATGATTTGCTCCATCAGCCCCACATAGTCTCCAGCAGGAGTCACCAGTACCCAGGTGTGTTTTCTGAATGGTGTGATGAAGAATCTTGCAATGTTCTTCCAGCAGAATTCCCGCCATGAAGTTGATTCTGTGAATGTCCACTGAAGCTGGCATATCTCTCCCCACAGTTCTGCTGGAATTAGTTCTTGAACTTCCATCTCCCACTTCCTTCACATTTAATCCATGTCCCCTGGTTTAGATAACTGAATTCCCTTGTATATTGTGGAAACCACTTTATTACATTGACCCAGTTTCAAGAATAGCACGAAAACTTGTGGAAAACCCACCTCTCCAGCACTAATTACCTTTTTCATATTTTGGTTAATGTGATACCTGACTTGTAAAAATCTGTGAAAGTCTACTTTTTCTAAACCACATTCATTTTGTAAAGTCTCAAAACTCTTGAGTGACCCCTTGTGGAGAAATGACTTATAGGATGTAAGACCCCGAAGGGACCAATTTTTAAATCCATCTCATTTCTGTCGGGCACAAAGTCAAAGAGTCCTTTACACAAGTCCTCTAGTTTGTACATATTCATGACACGTTTCAAAGACGTTAAATGGGAATTCAGCAGAGAGTCATCTGAGACTCCCAAATCATTTTGAATTTACCCATCAGCCAAGAGAGCCTCAACAGGGACACCCTGAAAGTGGCCCCCTCCATCTGCTTCCATTCTGATGTGAGGTCCAGCTGAATGCTTAGGCACACCTGAAACACCAGCTCCCCTCTTCCCTCACTCATGAACAAGTTAACTAATTTTGAGGTAGGACCTTTGTCCCAATCCAAATTTGTAATCCAGCCTTTTCTGGTTGACAACCATGACTTTGGATTGGAGGTCATGGGTGTGGAATGGTGGCGGTGACAAATTGCATATGGAACGAGGCATGGACAACTTGTTTTGGTGATGGACGTGTTGGAATAAGTGGCCTGCAGTATGGAAGTTTTCGTGTCACTAAACTGTCTTTGCTCCGCTGCGGCCACTAAGTTTGCTTTGATCCCTGCGCTCCCGTTGGTGACTCTACCTGCCAGCTTCCCCAGAGCCTAATGTAATGATGAGGCTCTGGTAAATGGGGGTACCTGCTACACCACATGACTGTGAAACAGGTCAGAGATGTTACACACTGTCTTTTGCTATGACATTTTTTTTTATGATTTGAAGGACTGCATTGGACTCATCGCCTAACTTGATGTGGCTAATCCGGAATCCCGGGACGGATCTCAGATCAGACGGCTCGAGGTTTGCAAACCCCTCGAGATGGGACGTCTTGTTCGTCATGTATGGAACCATCATACCTGCACACGCTGGGACTTCTGTGGTCCATCAGGCAGCGTCACAGTCGCTCGTCACCTCCCAGCAATTCCACAACACGACAGTGCTTTGTTTGCCTCATGAGTGGCTGGTGCAGGGGGCTTGTTATCTAGTTTAAGGTTTTTGTATTAAAGTTGGGAACTTTCATTCTAAGAAGGGGAGTGTTACGTTCACCGCTGCTTGGCTTTAGTGTTTAATAAATGTCCTCCTTGTATTGTGCCTGAGGAGCTGATTTGCAGCACCTGGCTCCCTCCACTCTGCCCTGCTCCACCCTGAAGCAGCAAGCTGCTGGAGATGATAATCACCTGCTGATTGAGGACTGGTGGCATAAAAACCTCCTGGCTCACATCTTCAGGGAGCAGCAGACCAGAGAAGTTGTCTATGATCTGTTGTCTCAGCGTGCTTAGATTTAGTCACTTAAAGTCACCTTTAGTGTAACAACTTTGTGTAATTCAGTGCTTGGGAAGCTCAGTACCTGTGAATCTCTTTTAGCCGATTCACCTTTTTGTGCAGGGACAGCCCTACACTCAAATCTTTTATAATTAAGATTCATCACAGGTGGTGGAATCCCCACTGTGATGATCTTTTGGTATTTTGTATAAATTTGGCTAATTAGAGGTAAAATAGTTGTTACCATGTGTTGTTGCTGCCGATCATTTTGGTGTGAGTGTTCCTTGTGTTTATGGATCCGTTCTGTTAAATAAAACCTTTGAGTTACATTCTGAACTAGAGAATAGATTCTTTTTTTGTTGCTCCAGGTTTCCTAGATGACCTGGGGGTGTAACAGAGGTGCTGATCTACATCCCAGCAGCTTCACACTTGGCTGTAAATCTCTGATTGGCGGATAGAATCAGCCCGTAAATCTTCCTAACAAGTGCTGAAGGTTTGATGGAACCGAAATCTGCAAAAACTAAAGAGAAGGGGCAGTAGTAGTCGGAAGGTTGCAGGCTCGACACCCTCCACCCTACAGCTACTAATAGAAATATTTTCCATGGAGGTAATGAACAGAACGGATGACAAAGGACAACCCCGGTAGTGAGCAGTGTAGCGTAGCAATGGTGTAGTTAAACAAGTCTATGAGAGGTTTCAACCATCTTGTGGTCAAACGGAAATACGCACCCACTTATATGATACATCAAATCGGCCGGCTTGGTCTCAGGAGTCTTGTCTTAACTTTTATTTGTATTCTGCCTTACCAAGGCTACGTGCTTAACAACAACATTTAGATCATTTTAGAGACTACTATAGGAAAATACCTTTACATAGAAACATTAATTAAAATTTAAAAAGGTCATGGGACATTGGACATAACTATATTGAAGCCGATTCCTGTCATCTGTCACCGTGGCAACACAAGTGCATAAGGATCACTGGGGCAGCTCCTGGATCTCTGAGACTTGGAGCTCCCTCTATCTCCTACACATCTTTGGGGGCAGATCTGTGGTCCCTCACACTCTCTATTGGACGCTCCTATAGAGAAACCTTACATAAACAAGCGCGTGTACACACACAGGTGCTCACATGGTGCTCTCATAAGTATGGACTTGGGCACATTCAACACATGTCTTAAGGTTGTGGATGGCACTTAATGCACTGTGATTTATTATCGTGTGATTGTTCAGTTAAACAATGTTGATTTTATATTTCCTCATCAGGTTGATTGCATGCTCCTGTTGTATTGTTGTGTGTTGTTTTTCTTCTTCTGCAGGTCTAGAAGCAGACTCTTGTTCAACATTGATTGTTTATTGCCATGGACCCCCCCCCCCACCTTTGTGTCTTCCTTTTTCTTTCACCTCTGTCTCCGTGTCCAGTTGGAATTAAAAAACATTCAAAATTAATAACAATAAAGTTTTAAGTATCAGGCGTGACATTAACAGCAGACGCTTTGATGCTCCACCTGAGAGTGAATCTGTAAGGCTTGTCACCACATCACCCCGCTTCTCCTCCAGCTTCACTGGCTGCCAGTCAACTTCAGGGTTCATTTCAAGATCCTGGTTCTGGTCTTTAGGGCCTTACATGGACAACCACCATCTTACATTGGTGATCTTCTCAGTCCCTACACCCCCAGCAGGTCCCTGAGGTCCAGTGTTCAAAGCCTACTGGTTGTGCAGCACCAGGCTAAAGGTCAAAGGTGACAGATCATTTGCTGCTGTGGCCCCCAGACTCTGGAACTCTCTCCCCCTGAGCCTGACATCAGTGGACTCAGTGGTCTCCTTCAAAAAGCAGCTGAAGACTCACTTGTTCAAGCTGGCTTTTGTATGACCTTCTTCACCACTCTCTCTTTATTCTGCTCTCCCCACCTATTCCACCTTCCTCAGGATCCACTGATTTCCCTCTTTCCTGTTCACTCTCTCTCTCTTTCTTAACATTTTTATATCACAATTGTCTCTTTTTGCTCATTTTAAATATATTTTGAAACATTTTCTAAATGCTTTTTTATATTTTTACATTTTTTGTTTTTGTGAAGCGCCTCGTGATTTTTATCTTGAGAGGCGCTATAGAAATGATATTTTCTTCTTCTTCTTCTACCAGCATTCAGACATTAATTCTGTTTGCTTCACAGCCAGACAGGACACGGGGAGAAAAAAAAGGATCACTCCAAACAAGTCTCATTGAAATGAATATAAAAAGTGTAATATTGAGCCTATAACATACTGCTGTTTCTGATCTTTCTGAGCTCTATACACTTAAAACTAGCAGCATATAGTTGACATTTTAACAACAGACAAATGGCAGCTTCAGCTATCCAGCATTCAAACAAAATTTTTGCAAGAAAAACAATTCATCTATGTGACAGACGCTGTCTGTTTTGGTGGCCACAAGGTGGCCTCATCGCTACAGCCTGCTCTCCTGGCTCTAACTGAATCAGGTGCAGCTCATTTCAATCAGTGCGCTCCCTGTTAAAAGGCAGCTCCTTCTGACATTCGAGGAGGGAAGCTTAGAAGAGGCCTGGTGTTAGAGCGAGTGTTCCTCTTTTGACCCTCCTAGAAAAACCTGACGTTAAAGTCTCGTTTGATACCTATGTGGTTAGATTATCCTCCCTCGAAATATAGAGCTTGTTTGTGTTTCACTAGCATACTCGTAAAAGAGTTCAGCTCACCCTTTTGGTGGAGTTTTTGGCGTTCCTCCAAATTCCTTCCTTTTACCCGGTTTAGTCCCGGCGCATTGTGTTTAGTTGTTTATTGTTATTTACCCACGTGTTACCTCTTTGTTTATTAATCTTAGTGTTGTTTACCCAATTGTGGATGATCTTTGTGTTTAATATTATTATCGTTGTTAATTCCCAGTTTTGGACGTCTCTTGTTTTGCATCATTTTATCCTTTTTCCTGCATAAAGCAGTGACTTTTAGTTAATAAACCTCCTTCAAGAGAGTACTACTTAGTTTGTCCTGTCCTTTACACAACCTTCTTTACGCCCTCTCCCACTATCATCTCCTAGGCGAGCTGAGGGCCGTAAAAATCTAGTTTTAATGATTTTTGTTGTGGGATAAAAAAATATGTTAATATTATGTCTAGCATATGGGATACTAGTCAGGCTTCAGAAACTTACTTGTCAGATGTCCGCTGGAGTCGAGCCGTGTCGCTCTCCCTCTGCTGTTTACTCTGAGCAGATAGAAGGTTTTCTTTCTGAATTGTCTCCCATGTTTTGAGCTTGCTGGCGGCCCATTCTTCCAGCTCCAGAACTAAAACAAAAACAAGAGAAAAATGGAATGAATCAAATCAGAAGTAACCCACATCTAAAGCCAAAAACAAAGTTCACTCATTTATGCCCAGGACAGTTTATTAGGCCCTGATAGCTAAAACTCTGGAATTGAAAGAGGTGAACTTTCTCCTAGATAATAAAATGTTTAACTGGAGCCAGCATGTATGTCACTGCTGCTCTCTGTGCTTTCATAATATCTCTTATATCTGCCAATGTCTCACCAAAGTGTTGACTCTTGACTGAAGCAACACGACGAATCTTTCTCTTGATGAAAATCTGGATATGGGAGAATATGATGAAGGGTGGTGCCACGCACGGCCTGTAGTGGTACTCCACGATCAAGTTGTAGCGCTGAAACTTCCAGTAGATGTCGCTGTTCTCTTGAACTTTGGAAAAGGTGTAGCTGCAGACAGAAAATTACAACATGAGGAAATCTTTCTCCAGTCAGACAGTCTGAATGAGTTGACTGGCATCAAGCTGGAACCTGAACATGGCGATGAGCAGGTTCACCAGTACGATGTTGGTAAACAACAGGAAGATCACAAGGAGGACCACAACCAGCCAGTTGGCATAGATGCTCAAACAGGGTTCTGCTCCCGCCTTGATTTCTGTAGAGTTGTATGTGCACTCCATTTGTCTCAGTTTATCAGCTGAGGAAATAAATTGAGAAAAACACATCAGATCCACTTTAAGACAACTGTTGCTAGGCAATGGCAGTCTCATCTGTTTCTCCCTCAAGAATGAAATGCATCAATTAAAAAATCATAATGCCTTCTGGATTCTTAGAACTCTGTGGGTTATTCACTCACCCACAGAGTTCAGTTCAGACTCAAAAGAGATTAAAACAAATCCCAAATTTAAGTTGTGTGAAATTTCACATCTTCCTCCACACCATACGGTGATGCACTTGATTGTGTTACTGATCCCATGAAATACCAGTGAAATACTTTATGGCTAAAATACCGAAAAGGTCAAGATGTTGGAAAACATTTCAGGAATCAGAATCTAGAAGCACCAAAGGTCAGTGGAACTCTCGAGTCCAATTTCTGGAGACCAAATTCACGCCCTCTCCCAGACAGGAGTTGAATCTGTTAGTTAGCTCAGCCATCTCGCATTGCACCTTTAATAGCATGCTAACTGTTTTCTTTATTAGATGATAAAACAAGTTCTCACCATCAAGTTCATCAATAGGTATCTGTCCAAAAATGTGTAGAAAGGGTCTGTAGAAGACACGGCGGAATATCCAGTTAGGTCGAGGATCGTAGGCGAAAAGTAGTGCTTGATTAGCCACTCCATAGGCTGTGAGCCAAACAGCCAGAAAGAAGAGGAAGAAGAAGACATCTTTCACCTGAGGGACAGAAAGAATGATGAGGACTGGGTTTTTGAAACATTTCTTTAGTGAGCTTGATGATCTGATGCAGCGTATTTCTGGAGCTGAGACAGTAGTAATTGGTACCGACTTTAAGGGGTATAATGATGAAGGGAGCAGAGGTGATGAGGAAGTGATGGTCAGGTTTGGCATCCAGGATAGGAACATAGAGGGACGGATTATGGTACAAGAAGTGGGACACAGAGGACAGAAGAGAGCAGACAGAGGTACAGAGAGATGTGGCAAATGGTGAAGGTAGAGATGCAACGGCCAAAAAAGGGCATCTGATGGCCTGTGTGCTAAGTTAGTTAGTAAGGAGAGAGAGAATGATTTGTTCAGGTTGGTGAGGCAAAGAGACAGAGATGGAAATGATGTGCAGCAGTTTAGAGCTGGTTAAAGTGACAATGTGTAGTTTTTACCATTAATCTCTTGAAATATCCATTGAAATGTTGTTGTAAATGAATTAAAAGACGCCCAGTTGTTGAAAAATACTGGCGGTTTCATAACATGTAATCATAAAAATCTGTTCTAAAATAAATGGCGGGTCTAAGTCTCTGGGCGACGCCTTGTTGGATGCCATGTTTCCTTCGACAGAAGCCTGTGAGGACAATACACATTTACTGATTTGTAACAAATGGTTACAAAACTTGCAGCATTAATAAACATTGTTGCTTTACACATTTACCTCTTCACTTGCTGCCAGTGATGAAAGGGAGTCTGGTGTGCTTGTCGTTTAGCTGGAGGTTGCACTCCCAGGGACTTTTTGACCCTAATGGCCATTCGTTGGTAAGGGCTTATTTGAACACAAAAATAATGCTTGCTTGCATTGTTTTAGGTATGTACTGGCCCCTATCGCCAGGGAAACTACTCACTGTCACTCTAGGGCGGGGTCGGCAACCTGTTCCCATCAAAGAGCCATTATTACCGTTTTTCCCACAGTAAAGAAAACACTGGGAGCCACTGCAGCTGCGGCGTTGTGGGCGGGGCCTACCCTCAGACAGCAGAGAGCTGCTTTAACCAATCACAACAGGTGACAGCAGCCAGTACCGGTCGCTTGTGTACGTCAAAGTTATCTTTCATAAGACGATAATCAATAAAACGATTTATATAAAGTGGATCCAGAAGTTGTAGCCCGTCTCTGCCTACAATATTTTGATATTTTTCACCCTGTTGGTGGTTTTACTGAGCAGGTGCCACTTTTGTCATACATTTCTTTTTAAAACATGTTTAGACTGTTCAGAATACAAATCCAGGCTCTGTCACGTTTGATTGTTGTAATTAAACTTTGTAGGTGGGGGAGGTCAGTAAAGGATCTGATCATTTTGTTTTTCCCTCATTTACAATGACGGAGATAACGGCGCAGTGTGCCTGGCTCTGGTGTTAATCAAGTTAAATTACATCTCTTTGCAACAATTTTCACAAGAAAACAGAACAGTTAAAAGCAAGGCTTGTGTTGACCGGATAGTTCCCGTATTTGACCGTTTATTTTGACGGAGAAAGAATAGAAAGAATTACCCCGACGCATGCAGACGAACTGACATTTTATTCGTTTCGCACATCGCAGATGTAGCTAAATCACCCAAGAAAAGATTCCCATTTGAACATCTGAGCTGGACACTGCTCAGCGCAGCTCACTGTCAGCGTGTATGTACGGTGCACAGCGAGCTGAAGATGTGGAGAGGGGCTTGGAGCGAGTCGCAGAACCAGAGCTCATGCAGGAAGATTCCTCCGACTGAAGCGAGACTTGTCACTTAGAAAATGTTCCCTGATTATGAAACTTTGGCTGAATAGTGCTTGTTCCTGTCTCCAATGTGGCGACACATCCAGGAGCCGTCTGAGGAGAATCCCAGAATCTCACATCCTCGTCAGCTCAGGAAGCGCATATGATTACGCACAAGCGTGACGCGTCAACCCGGTTTCACAGTAAGACCGGGTTGGACCTGTTCAGGTTTATGCAGACAATCTTTACATTTAGAATTAGCATACAGATGTAAAATTAATGCAGTAAAATACAAAGCATTTTATTTAAATACCCATTCATTATTTTACAAGCACAGAGAGCCGCATCAGATGGATGGAAGAGCCGCGTGCGGCTACAGAGCCGCGGGTTGCCGACCCCCGCTCTAGGGCTTGGAATGGAAATTTTCTGATGAGTTCCATGCAATGGGAAGATGGAAAGAGAACCTTGAACAGCTGACGAGTGAGGAAAATGAGACCAAAGGTAGAGCAGAAGAGGAGGCTGTTCTGGATCAGGAAGTAGCTGAGATTAGTCAGGATGAAGTGAGGACAGCTTTGAAGAGGATAAAAAGGAGAAAAACAGTTGGTTCTGATGACACACTTGCTAATGTACTGTAAAAAAACCTTGTGAACTTGGCCTTTAAGGATGCTGATGGAGAAGTACAGAGAATGTCTGAGTGAGCTGCACCGGATCTCTGTAGAATTACAGAAAGCAAAGGGTGACAGGGTGGCGTGAGTGGAGCTGAGGTGCATGAGGATATCTAGAGGGGCAGAGAAGTGTGTTAAAGGTAGAGGTGGGATTGCCTCTGGATCGGCTCTAAACTCCTTTTTTGCTTTGGTGATGGACAGACTGATAGATGATAGACAGGTGTCTCCATGGACCATGATGTCTGCAGAAGACAATGATCTGCAGTGAAAGCAGGCAACTTTAAGGACTTAGGGTCTACGGTCCAAAGCTACAGAGAGGATGAAGCAGGTTGGGATTGGTGGAGAAAAATTTCAGGTGCAGAATGAAAGGAAAGGTGAGAGCAGCCATGTTGTTTAGAGACCGTGTCCACGAGGACAAGACAGGGGACAGAACTGAAGCCTGCAGAGGTCATGATGTTGAGGTTTTCTTTTGGAGTGAGTGACAGTGATGGATAGGATCAGGAAGGAGTCCATCAGAGGAACAGCTAAGGCTAGATGTTCTGAGACGGATGGTTTGGACATGTCCAGAGGAGAGACAATGATGACATGATTAGAAGGATGCTCAGGTTGTAGCCACCAGGCAGGAAGCTGAGACCAACAAGGACATTTATGGATGTGATGAAAGAGGACATGAAGTTAGTTGGTGTGAAGGTAGAGGACGTAGAAGACAGGACTAAATGGAGACAGATGATTGGCTGTGGAGACACCCAAAGGGACAAGCCAAAAGACAATGAAAAGGAGTGTTTACAGATGCAGAAGAGCTCATATGGCAACACAAAATGATGCAAAAGTTAGATTTGCATGAATTGCACTTTTAAAAACACTCTATTGTCATTTCAGTCAACAGTTTGGTCACCTAACGCCTGGACTATTGCCCCAAAAGTTCCAATAAAAACTTCAACTGGTTCCAAATTCGGCTGCGCATATAATCACCTAAACACCCTACTCTGATCACATCACCCCCGATATTCAGCATCCTCGCATGCTCAGATCCTCTTCTTCCATCAACTTCACTAATCCAACAGCATGTCTTATCACGATGGGATACCGAGCATTTAGCAGATCGGCCCCTCCTATGGAGCTCCTTACCTGCTCACCTTAGGAACATGACTACCCTTCATCAGTTCCAGGATCATCTCAAACCTCATCTGTTCTAAACAGCTTATTCACTGTAGCTGTTATTGGGGTTTAATCTGATGTTTCATTTGAGTTTTAAACTTTCTAGTCTTTGAATGTTTTTATTATTTTTAACCTGATTGTACACTGACCCTGAGTTTTTTGAAACTCCAATTAAAATGAGTTGTTATTACTACTTTAAAAACTCTCCATTTGGCTCCTCATTGAATGTAGCATCCCTTTTACGATTCTGCTTATTATTTTAAATCTCTTCATGGTCTGGCTCCCTCTTTTATTACTGAACTCCTCTCTCCAAGGTTTGCAGAATCTCGTGGCTTGTCGGAAGATAGAATGTAAAATCCGCCTTAGAGGATGGAATTAGGTCTGTAGATGACCGGTGGCATGTAGGTCAATGTGTAGGTGAAAACTGACCATTCCTGGACGTTACACCTTATCATCTCCTGCGCTCATCAGGTCAGCTGACCAGCTCCTCCTGTCGGTCCAGAGATCTCGTTGTAAGGCTCGTTCTCAGTTTGTGCATCTGAGCTGTGGAATGCTTTACCTCTCAAAATCTGTCAAGCCCCCTTCTGTCTAAATGTTCACCTCTCACATAAAAACTCACGTATTTCCCTTTGCTTTTGGCTCAGTGTAAACCTGAGTAGATTGTTTCTCCTTTTTCTGATTTTACTTTTAAGTTGCTAAAACTTCTACCTTGTTGTGTTTTGCTGCTTATGGTTTTTAAACAGAGCTCTACTTAATGTGTTGCTTTTACATTTTGCTACTGTTCAGTACTTTGTGTACTGCTGTGTCTGGTAGTACTATACAAAGAAAATGGTAGGGTATGTTACGGTAAACTCAGATGGTTTCCTAAACAGCTGGTTGTACAAAGTGACCTGACAGGATCAGTTAGAGTTAACTCCTCAGTGATTGTTGAGTATTTTAACTCTAAACCTTGTTTTGTTCCATGAGCTCTGAGTCATTACCATTTTTCCAACAATGATGATTTTGGGCCCCAGCTGTTTGTGGACGGCAAAAATGTGGATCAGACGCAGAGTGAAGACCATATAGTCCACGGCCATGATGGATCGCCCAAACTGATAGGACAAAGGAAACATCCTGCAAATGAGAAACAGTCAGTCAGCCAGTGGTCACAACTCCGCAGGTCCACACAGCTTCACTAAATCAGCCAGATTTACACCACTGGTTCAGGTGATATAATCTCCTCAAGGGGATTAGGTAAGAACTGTCAACAGCATGAACAATGTTATTAGTATAGATTTTGATTAAGGTTGGGTCCAGTATGGACCCTTGAGGAGCGTCCTTAGATAGAGGTAGAAGATTGGTAACCCTGTGTTCTCACTGTTTGTGTACGACCTAAGATATAACTTCTGAACCATGCCACAGATGCCTGAGAAAGTCCTTTATGTTTGAGTCTGCTAACTAAGATGTTATGGTCCACAGAGTCAAAGGCTTTAGCCAAGTCAGCAAACACAGCCACACAATAGTCCTTATTGTCAATGGCACATATGATGTCATTTAGCACTTTAAGTGTTGTAGAGACACATCCACGGCCAGTTCTGAAGCCGGACTGCATGGGGGAAATAATACTGCTGGATTCCAGATAGTGAGTTAGCTGTTTGTTGACTAACTTTTCAATGACTTCAGAGAGGAGAGGCAGGATAGAGATAGGCCTATAACAGCTGCGGTCTGAATGATCTCCCCCTTTAAAGAGTGGAGTAACAGATGCAAATTTCCAGTCCTGTAGAAATGCACCAATTTGTATGGACAGATTATACAGATGGGTAATAGGTGCAGCAGTAACACCTGCTGCTATGTTCAGAAAGAAAGGGTCAAGAGTATCCGGTCAGGCTGATTTATTTGTATCTAAGCTGTGTAACTCGTTAAGTAACTAATTTACCTGAAACGATTGAATGGAGAAACGGGAACTGGGTGTGGAGAGGGAATCGTTGCATATAGCTGAGTCGAGGTCAGAGACCTCAGAGATGTGTGAAGCTGTTGCAAAGGCATGACCAGACTTGATAAAGTGATTATTGAAAGAATTTACCATTTTATTTCTTTTTCTAACTCCATTCGGTGTTTCACTATGGGGAATCTCCCTGGCGTGACCAACTACGGAAGCTCCAATGACATCACGTCTGTCCCTGACAGACCGGTTGTGCCATGCCCAGGCTCCGCCCACCCAGTATATCCACGGCCAACCAACCCCTCCTACTCATTCTTGCTTTCTTCCCGTGAGAAACTACACTTTGCTCCCTCAGCGATTTTCAGGCTATTTTGATTAGCTGCTTAATTGTTCCCAGGCGTACCGTGAGGATACATCACCAAACGCAGTCCCAACGCTGTCTGGATTGGTGCTGAGTAAGTGCTTCTAAGTCAATTGGTACACTTCGATAGGCACAGTCACCGCGTCATGGCGAACTACTCCCACAGCTACTCTGTTGTCATTGACGGAGTGGTATTAGCGAGTGTAGCTCAAGCTAACGCGTTGAGGCGAGCTTGTCTTTTGCTTGCTAATGAGTTACTTTGGTGCAGCTAAGGTGTCATGACGAGTTGCCCTACATGTAAAATAGCGTTTTAGTTGCAGACTTACCTCTGCTAACTGCTTGCTAATGCTCTTTCAGGCTAACGTGTCACAGCTAGTTGGATTTTCAGCGATGGCTTCCACACCTACCCCCACCGACGGGTCGGAACCGAAGGCTAAAGAGGCTGCATCCCGCCTGTGCCTGGCGTCATGTGGGGCTTCTATTTCAGGCATCCTATGTGCATAGATTGCATGGGTGCTGCTCACGCCCAGGCATCACTGACTAACCCAGAGACATGCCCTCACTGCTCCTCCATGCCTGAGAAAATAAGGGAAAGGAGGCTTAGTGTGGCAGTGGTTAACGGCCGGGACCCAGGCCTCGACTTGGCCACGCCTGTAGATGCAGGTGACAATCATCAGCCACGAGCCTCCACAAGCTGGGTGGATATGATGGAAGAGGAGCCCCCGCTACCACCTCTGTTCGAGGGGCTGGTGGACAGCGGGCTGCTCGATGCGGGTGATGAGGAGGCTGGAGGTGATGCGAACTCAGACCTCCTCGACTTGGACATGGAAGAGGAGGAAGAGGATTCCACCTTCCCCGCTCAACACTCTAGGCCGTCTAGCGGCACTGAGGTGGAATCACTGGGGGTCGCCGATCTGTACAAGGTTTGCAGACGAGCAGCGGCAAAGCTCAACATTCAGTGGCCTGCAGCCCAAGGGGCAGAACGAGACCTGTATGATGGTAAGAGGTTCCCACTATTCTCTGCTCCACCCAAGCAGCTCTTGCCGGCTGTCCCAGCATGCATGAGAGAAACGAGCCGTTACTGGTCTAGCCCATTTAAGAGCAAACTCCCCAACAAGGGATCCTCCAAACTGGAGGTGCATGGGATGGGGGAATTGGGGCTGGCCGAACCCCCCAACGGTGGAGCCTTCAGTGGCATATCACCTTCATCCCAACCGCAGATCCATGTCAGCATCATCCAGCATCTCTCTCCCATCTAAAACGGATCGTCTCACGGCATCCATTTTTCAGAGGATGTACAAATATGCTGGCCAATCTGTGTGTTCCCTCAACGCGGTTACTCTCTTGTCAGCTTATCAAGGAGAAATCCTGGAGGAAATGGGTCGTCAGCTGGACTTCGGGGCACCTAACTCAGTTTTATGTCATGAAATCTGTGTGGTGAATGATCTCATCCTGCACTCTTCTAGAGGAGCAGTCCAGGGCTGTGGACGTGTGATGGGATTGGCGATTTCGGGTGAGAGAGCCTTGTGGCTAAACCTGTCAGGCCTAGGTGACACCCAGAAAGCTGATGTAATGAATGCAGCATATGACCCTACCAAAGGTCTCTTTGGCCCTGCCTTGGAGAAGATGTCTGAGACAAGTACCTGCAGAAAGCAGGAAGGGGAGGCCTTCATTCTCTGCTTGCCTCGTAAACATAACCCTCAGCCACCTCAGGCACCCAAGCCTGGGTTTGTGGCAGCAGCCTCAGCGGCAAAGGGTCAACAGGGTGGGGCTAGACTACAGCGATCAGCAGGTGGTCAGCCAAACAATGCGGAGAACCCTCGCCCATGGGAGAAGCACTCCATTGCAGCAGCAGCCACCAAGAACCGCTCGTTTCACCCTAGCAAGGGCAAGAGGAAGAAGACATCCTAGTTGCTCTTGCTTTTCCTCTCCAAAAGAAGAGGAGGTTTTCAGAGGAAGAAAACAGACCTCTATGTTCAGGTTTCAGACACTCCTGTGGTTCCCAGCCCAGCAGAAGTTTTGTTCACTCCTCCCTCTTCAGTTCAGAGAGACGAGTGTGTGGAGCAGAAAACCCAGTGTCACCAAACACTTTTCAGTTTTCAAATGAGCACACAGTCAGTGTCACCAAGCACTTTGTTCCCAAATGTGTGCAAACATGTTCATGGGGATCGTTTAACAATAAAGACAGCCTTTCTGCAGCCAGGCATTCAGCCAAGGGCAGACAGCTCCCCACAAAAAAGAAACAAGCCCCATCAGGTCCCTCTGCGCCCAGCAGATGACTCTCTCACTCTTCCCACGGGACGAGTCGAGGCTGCTCAGGTGACGGAGATGATGTCACCCAACAGCGGCTCACTTTCGGCTCAGGCTGAGAGGTGGCGCGCATGCGTAGCTCCCTCTTGGGTTCTGATGACTATTCGTTGGTGTTACAGGCTTCAGTTTGCCTCAAAACCGCCCTGTTTCAACTGTATAATAAAATTGTCAGCGGCAAAAGATGATTTGGCGCATATCCTGGAAGACAAAATCGCTTCACTGTTGAACAAAAAAGCAATAAGGATGGCGCCGAGCGACAAGGCCCACCAGGGTTGTTATTCACGCTATTTCCTCATTCCAAAGAAGTACAGGAAATCTCTCTGTCCCATTCTCGACCTGCGTGTGTTAAACAAACACTTACGCAAGTACACTTTGAGAATGTTGACTCACAAAGCACTCTGCCGTTCCGTCCGCCCAGGAGATTGGTTTGTCACGATCGATCTCGCGGATGCCTATTTTTCACATCTCTATTTATCCTCCACACAGGACATTTCTCAGGTTTGCCTATCAGGGCACCATCTACGAGTTTCAAACCATCCCGCTCGGGCTGTCATTAGCACCGAGGGTGTTCACCAAGTGTGTGGAGGTGGCGGTGTCCTCATTGAGGACTTGCTAGATCAGAATTTTCTCTTACATAAACGATTATCTGATTTGCACTCCCTCCCGGGAGCAAGCAGCCAGTGACGCCCGAGTGGTGTTGAACCATCTGACCGACCTGGGGTTCAAAATAAACTGGACAAAGAGCAGTTTATTCCCCAGACAGTGCACAGAATATCTGGGTCTTCAGATAAACTCGCTCTCTTATCGCATTTTGCTGTCAGAAGAGAGGATCGCGTCCTTCACACAGTGTGTCGCACATTTTCAGCTAGGAATCCATGCATCGTACAGACTTTGCATGCGCCTTCTCGGCCTCATGGCATCGATGATTTCTGTGGTGCGACTGGGGCTTCTTATGATGGGAGATGTTCAGCGGTGGGTGAGGTCGTTAAGACTGTGCTCCCGCCGTCATCTCCACCGCAGAGTGAAAATAACTCCGGCGTGCATGCCGGCTCTCCAGCCTTAGAGAGACTGAGCAGTTCTCACAATTGGGGTTCCGCTAGGAGCGGTGGTGTCCAGAGTTACCATGACGACTTACAGGTTGGGGGCCACCTTGATGGGGAAAGTAGTGAACGGTGTTTGGTCACGCAGTTTGAAACGGGTTCACATAGATGTGCTGGAACTCCTAGCAGTGTTTCTAGCTTTAAAGCACTTCCTGCCCTACTTAAGGGACCGTCATGTCTTAGTGAAGACAGACAACACCACAGTGGTAGCTTATATCAACCGTCAGGGCGGGACACGCTCTCTACAGCTGCACTCACTAGCCAAGGAAATAACTGTGTGTTGCAGCTCCAGACTCCTCTCAGTCCGCGCAACACTTTGCCTCATGGGAAAGCGCCCACGGTCCACTCTTCTTCTCCCTGACAGACGCGGATGCGCCTCTGGGAGTCGACGCATTGGCTCACCAGTGGCCGAGAGTGCTGC